AAATGGTTAACAGTTACACAAAAGATTTGTTAAAAATATGAAGTAGAAAAAACAAGTAAAACATAATACTTTGTTCTTGTTCACTAAAAAACAAAACAAAATCAGTAAAAAAGCAAAAATATACATATCTTTGTAACTTAACAATATATCTTTTAATTGGAAATAGCAAAATTCCAATAGATGAATCAAAAGTGCCTGGTGTATATAAAATCACTGCCAAAAATGATTATTTAGACTTGGACAAAATAAATATCTCCAGTATTGACTATTAGAAAGAAATTTAAGCAGCAGTTAATTTAAATTTTTTCCTAAATCTGGATCACACCTTTCCTTCAAAAAGTCAATTCAACTATTTATTTTTAAAATTATTTAAAACCCAACTCCAGGAAACACAATACAGTTCAATAAACTTAGTTAACAGAAAAAAGTTTTATCAATTATACAAATTTTTAAAAACATACAATATTTTTAACATCTGGATATCTGTCTTTTAACTTTACTAATGTTCAATTAGTTGTAATCAACAAATTTTTTCTCTCCTCCCCTTTTTGTTGTCAGTAGAGTTTATTGAATTGTATTATGGTTCCTGGGGTTGAATTCTAAAGAATGTAAAAAATTTTTAAGAATTACAATAGAGCGTCGATTATCCAAATCAATTGGGGACTGGGGTTGTTCGGAAAATCGATTTTTCGGATAACTGATTATGTACGAAAAAATATATTATTAATATAGTATATCTCAATAATAGTATATTAATATATCCTATGTTTAAATTTTTCTCCGTTGCATGTCGCTTCACATTGAATTTTCTTCGATATTAAGCCTAACGAAAATTTTTGTATAATAATAATAATAATTGTGGCAATTGTATCATTTAAAAATTACTTCTTTATTTTATTAAAATTCTTATTAAAAAATTATACTTTTAGAAGTTAATCTAGTATCAAAAACATTCGATACAGCATGACACAGTCCAACTGGAATGCTTTTGGTTAACTGCCATTTCGGTTGATCGGCATTCAGATAATCGATGCTCTACTGTAGTTGAATTGACTTCTTGAAGTCCATAGCAGTTAAGGTTTTAAAAGGAAGAAGAAATTGAAAAATATCTGTAAAACCAAGGATTTAAATTACCTTAATATCACATTAATCAAAGTCATTTCTGTAAAAAGAATGCATTTAAAAAAGTGTGTAGCTTCAAACAAACTTTTGAAAGAGATGTAACAAAACTGTGTTTTGAGTCTGTTTTTTAAAACTGTGTTTAAAACTGAATTTTAAAATGTTGCAAAAATGTTGGAAAAAATAAAAAGAAATGATCAATGGTGTCTGAAAGTTTTGACTCAAATCCTCTGATTCAAGCCATCAAAATGATGGAAAAAGTTTATTGTAGCACTGGACCATCTGACTGTTGCACTGTCAGAAATTAGTTCACTGAGTTTAGATCTAGAGACTACTGCACAAAAGACAAGTTGCATTCTGGATGACCACGGGAGATTGATGATAATCTGGTAAGACAGCTGGTAGCTAATAGCTGAAGATTCCCGAATGATACAGATGACAGTGAAATCCAGTTCAGAAGCTAACAGTTTGTGAGGCACTGAAGCAGATATGCATCAAGTTTGAAAGTGGGTGCTGCATATCTTGACTGAACAGAAGCCTGACTGCATTTTGAAATATGCATTGCTTTATCAGAACTGTCCCTTCAATTCCCTTATGACCAGCAATTTTTCTGCATCCTAATTTTTGGCAACAACTTTCCAATTTTTATAATAATAAAAGATGATGTATATTTGGAAAAATGACATCAAATAATTTAGTTTTCCACATACAGAAAGTTATTTGCCTTCATATTTTTTTACAATTTAGAATGAAATTTATTTTCAGAAAACATGTATAAAATATTTTGTTTTTAGTGTTTCATTTTTGTTTATAACCTATTTAACATTGTATTCTATTGCATTTCAATTATTCATTCAATTATTTTTAGTTCATTCTAAAACTTAATGATGGTTATGTAATTAGCTGAAAATGCTAAATAATTAAAAAATTTAATCCATACTTTATTAAATCAATTTAATATTTATTGAAGAATTAATTGGAAATTTATGTAAATCATCTAATCAGTTTGTTTTGAGATATGTAATTTTGAAAATATTCACAAAAATTTGGAAATATCTTTACAAAAGTTTGGGTTTTAGAAGTAGTGCATTTGTAAAGGCCATGTTTTTCATTTACGAATGACTCAAATTGACATGCATTTCTGCAATTAAATCTGTATTTTAGAAAATACTTAATGTTGCCCAGTGATGATATTCGAAATATTTAACAAAGGGTTCGCTAACGGAAAATTTTTCCTTAACAATTATTTTCGCTCAAATGGTGCATTAGCAACATTAGCGCAAAAACTGACCTTGAGATACCCATATAAATAAAAAAAGATATATATTACTGATGATAAAACTGACATAACTACGCGGTAAGTCACGAATACCGACAAACAAAATGGAAGTTTTGGTTAGAAATAAATAAAATATTTTTTCCTGTGATATATCTAATAATAGACGGATGTCATCGTCTCTCGAAATACAATATCTTTTTTATTTCGCTGTCGATAGCCCGACATGTGTTCCACAGCAATCTTGTATTTTCTTGCGTGCGCAGGATTGTGGGATCTCTCTTATGACTGGATCTCGTTTCGAGAACTCTCGAGACGATCGCGATTGAACTTCGTTTAGTAGTATTACAGAGTATAATACGTATATATTTTTAGTATAATATTTAAATATTTAATATATTTTTTAAAAGAAACAAAACCACTGAGAAATGTTACATGTGTTTAAGAAGGTTCGGAAAACTTTGAAAATATTAACAACAGGTTCGGCCGAACCGGTGCGAACCCACAGAATATCACCACTGATGTTGCCTTATTTTCAGTATAAGAATTCCACTACTTTCCTCAATTATTTGAATACATATAAATAAGAAGAGTGTTAGTGAAGTCTCTTCTGTGTGGCTTATAGAATTTGAGTTCATTCTTAAAATTTGATGTGCTGATAACTTTGCCAGTTTCTATTAATTTTAATGAGCGATCCAAAAATGTAATAATAAAAAATGGGGTTCATGAATGTTTTCAACGTGCAATACTGTTTTTTAACCCCACCTGTGGGTACCTAAGAGAAAATGGGCACCAAAAACAAACAAATGCAAGAACAGAGCAATCAATACCAAGTGAATGTAAGGATTGCCTCTCCATGGCTGACAAGTTTAAGGGCTGCCTTCTTATGTGGCCAGTAACCATTTTCTTCTGATGATACACGCACAATGCTCTGCTTCAATTCTGTCATGATATGACAGTCACATAGTGTCCATAGTATGAAAATTATAAACTGACAATTATAGATCAAAGAATAATAATTACATTTGAAATGAAAGTAGAAATAAGAAGAAAACAATTTTAAAACTTAATTTTAAGAATACTGATTAATTATTTGATTTTGTAATAAGTTCATAACTGATGATCCATTTTTTTTAACATTGAATCTACAACTTGATGTTGATTTGCAATAGGCTGAAAATAGTTCCCTTTACACTAATAAATTTTGGCTTTCAGAAAAAAGTTTTTTCTGTTTATAATAGTTGAAATATGATGCCAAGACTTACTGTACTGTTATGCTGTCGAGAGATCTTAGTGATTTTTAAGGGAGAATAACTAATGGGAATATATTCAGTTTCTGAGGTAATTGAATTTGCACATGTTTTGTGAGTAACAGAGACCATGATCGTGTCTGCAAATAAAAAATATCATATGAGAACATTATCAATAAATTATAGTAATTTTAAAATACATAATCAGAATTGAGATTATCAGACTTTAGTGCAGTGTGCAAACGAAGAATGGTAAACAGCAACTGATCAATTTTGCATAGATTTCAACACAAAATACAAGAGCTTATTTCATCAAAAACAGTATATTGAGAACTCCATAGCATAGTCGCTTCATAAAACCAGTCATCATACCTAATGACACTTTATCATGTCTATTAGTGCAGTAAACAAATGGAGTGTTCAGCAATGAAAGAATGTTTTAATCTAATAAGCATTCATTTATTTGCAGCAAATAGTTGTGTGCATGTGTGGTGCCAGCTGATGATTCCTTGGTTCCAATTGTCGGAAATACTGGTAATTCTGTGATGTTAATCTTTTTCTTTTGCTATAATTTGATGCATTCATTCCAAAAGAAAGTAAGACTGATTGCCATTTAAGTGTTGAATGACCATCATTCATCAAATGTTATGTTTTTGTAAAAAATGCAGCTGTTTTTTAGGATGACAATGTACGAATCCATAGAGTAGATATGATCACCCAGTAGTTTGAAAAGTTTGAGATTGAATTTCTTAGCATACTTGTGGCCATCTTAGCATTTTTCATGTCCATAGAGCAAGCAAAATTGATTAAATTTCTTGTTCAACAATTGTCATCTCTCTCCTGATGGTCAAGCTCTGGTAGAATTTAAGTTATGATATGATATATATATGAGCAGTACTAGGACATGGAAGTTCACTACTATCAGTTTTGTTGTACTTATTGTTTTTGTAAATGAGTATACTTTTAAAGTGCATAAACATATACTGTAGATCAAGTGTTTCACACTGGGGTTGATATTGACCCCTTAGGGATCAATGAAAGTTTGAGGAAATCGATATAACTTTGCAAATATAAAAAAATTTATTTAAAAATATTAAAAATTTTGCACCTTTTTGCTCTTAAATAAAAGTAGGAAGATGTTTTTAAAAATTATGTAAGAAGCTATAGCATATACATTTTTATATATATTATAGTATAGTATAATTAATATTGAAGGGGGTTGATGGAAAAAGATTGGGAACCCCTACTACAGATGAATGCCTGATATTCTAGTAAACAAAAATTTTATATATAATGTGTGTATATTTTAGATTTAATATTTTATATGTATATAAATCTTATCTTGTTTTGTGTAGATGTGGAATTTGTCATAAATCACATGATCAACATCAACTTGCAAAATGTGATAGTTGTCAATTGCATTATCATCTTGCTTGTTTGGACCCTCCTCTAAGTAGAATGCCAAAAAAGACTAAATCTCAAGGATGGTATGTTTTAGTATAAATGTTTTTCTTTTTTAAAAAAGAAATTACTTATATAAGCTTTAAGTTAAAAGAATTTTAAAAATTTTAGCTATTATTTTACAAACATTAAAATACCAGCATTTCTCAGAAAACTGTAGTATAGATGCTGTAATTGAATAAAATTTTATGTTCAGATAGTGCCATGTAATGTAAAATGCATGTAAATATCTTTAGTAATAATACAGGAAATATAAACATCTTCCAAAACTCTATTCATTACAATAAAACCATACCAATATTATACAGCAATTGTTGTGTCTTTAATACAGGAAACCTTGTTAGATGGATAAAGCATTGAATTTGAATGGTCACTTGTCTAAATTTTAAGAATATACATTAGGGTCTTGTTTTTACATGGGATTGATATATGCAGATATCAAATAGTTAATGCACTCCTAATGCCATAGAATCTGACTCTTAAATCAGCAAACCATGCATTTCCAGCTTTTGACATTTCAAATGAAAAAAAATGACTGAATGTTACTTGTGTGTTGAATACTCTGGTTTGTGTTTTTTATACACTTTATTAACTTAATCTCTGTGTCTGCCCAGAAAAAATAACTCAATTTTCACCCAATTTCCTCTAGTTGAAGCTATGCATATTAGTATTACCAATGACAATACATTTTTTTAGACTTAAAACAAGACCATTCTTTACATTATACATGATGTATTTTTTATCTTGAGACATTGAAATAACTTAATTGGATCTCATTATTTTGGAAAAAGGTATAGACAAAAGTTGTAGAATGTCAAGGGTCCAATCAATTGGTGACCTCAGATGTGACCTTGACCTTCAAGATCATTTGGGGGTCAAGTCTGTTTTTTCAATGGGAACACACGTTTTTGACACCAGAAATGGAAAGAGCAGGAAATTTTACAACCGGATATACCTTTGACCTTATTGTGTAGGTCAAAGGTCAAGATTATTTTAAGGTTAAAATTATAAGCTTTTTCTAATGGGAAACCATACTTTTTATTACTGAAATAGGCAGGGAGGTAAAAGTTACATTTTTTCATGACCTTATTACTTTGAACTTTGAAAGTATTCACTACTTTTNAGCGCCACATCAATAGCGGACATTTGAAATTTGCCGACTAGGACGGTCGGTTAACCAAGAGCTCGGTTGATAGGGGGTCGGATAATCGAGGCTCTACTGTACATCACTTTTTTATTTGTAACCTGTACAATACACAATAATGATGATTGTTCTTGCCGAAAAGTTCTTTAGAATTACTGTATATTTTAGTCTTTTAAATTGAGATACCTAAATAAGGGGGCAGCGAAATTTTCCTTTGCCCCAGGCCTCTGACACCCATGCTACGCCACTGGATCCCAGAAGTTCTTAATGACTCTACAGCTGCTGATATATTTTGTTGCAAGGGTGCTTAACTTAGAGATGTTTCAGAATTGTAATCTAACAGTCTCTGGACTTAGGATCCAAAAATTCAGGGACTGTGTGTCATATATCAACAGAAATTTACAATATTGATTTCGCTTATGTTTATACTAGTTGTTTTTAGATTGCTTATCAAAAGGAGCCTAACACATTCATGTAGCATTTGTGTTACTATTAAGGAACTAGATTAAATAACCTTTATAGCAGAACAAATGGTTAACAGTTACACAAAAGATTTGTTAAAAATATGAAGTAGAAAAAACAAGTAAAACATAATACTTTGTTCTTGTTCACTAAAAAACAAAACAAAATCAGTAAAAAAGCAAAAATATACATATCTTTGTAACTTAACAATATATCTTTTAATTGGAAATAGCAAAATTCCAATAGATGAATCAAAAGTGCCTGGTGTATATAAAATCACTGCCAAAAATGATTATTTAGACTTGGACAAAATAAATATCTCCAGTATTGACTATTAGAAAGAAATTTAAGCAGCAGTTAATTTAAATTTTTTCCTAAATCTGGATCACACCTTTCCTTCAAAAAGTCAATTCAACTATTTATTTTTAAAATTATTTAAAACCCAACTCCAGGAAACACAATACAGTTCAATAAACTTAGTTAACAGAAAAAAGTTTTATCAATTATACAAATTTTTAAAAACATACAATATTTTTAACATCTGGATATCTGTCTTTTAACTTTACTAATGTTCAATTAGTTCTAATCAACAAATTTTTTCTCTCCTCCCCTTTTTGTTGTCAGTAGAGTTTATTGAATTGTATTATGGTTCCTGGGGTTGAATTCTAAAGAATGTAAAAAATTTTTAAGAATTACAATAGAGCGTCGATTATCCAAATCAATTGGGGACTGGGGTTGTTCGGAAAATCGATTTTTCGGATAACTGATTATGTACGAAAAAATATATTATTAATATAGTATATCTCAATAATAGTATATTAATATATCCTATGTTTAAATTTTTCTCCGTTGCATGTCGCTTCACATTGAATTTTCTTCGATATTAAGCCTAACGAAAATTTTTGTATAATAATAATAATAATTGTGGCAATTGTATCATTTAAAAATTACTTCTTTATTTTATTAAAATTCTTATTAAAAAATTATACTTTTAGAAGTTAATCTAGTATCAAAAACATTCGATACAGCATGACACAGTCCAACTGGAATGCTTTTGGTTAACTGCCATTTCGGTTGATCGGCATTCAGATAATCGATGCTCTACTGTAGTTGAATTGACTTCTTGAAGTCCATAGCAGTTAAGGTTTTAAAAGGAAGAAGAAATTGAAAAATATCTGTAAAACCAAGGATTTAAATTACCTTAATATCACATTAATCAAAGTCATTTCTGTAAAAAGAATGCATTTAAAAAAGTGTGTAGCTTCAAACAAACTTTTGAAAGAGATGTAACAAAACTGTGTTTTGAGTCTGTTTTTTAAAACTGTGTTTAAAACTGAATTTTAAAATGTTGCAAAAATGTTGGAAAAAATAAAAAGAAATGATCAATGGTGTCTGAAAGTTTTGACTCAAATCCTCTGATTCAAGCCATCAAAATGATGGAAAAAGTTTATTGTAGCACTGGACCATCTGACTGTTGCACTGTCAGAAATTAGTTCACTGAGTTTAGATCTAGAGACTACTGCACAAAAGACAAGTTGCATTCTGGATGACCACGGGAGATTGATGATAATCTGGTAAGACAGCTGGTAGCTAATAGCTGAAGATTCCCGAATGATACAGATGACAGTGAAATCCAGTTCAGAAGCTAACAGTTTGTGAGGCACTGAAGCAGATATGCATCAAGTTTGAAAGTGGGTGCTGCATATCTTGACTGAACAGAAGCCTGACTGCATTTTGAAATATGCATTGCTTTATCAGAACTGTCCCTTCAATTCCCTTATGACCAGCAATTTTTCTGCATCCTAATTTTTGGCAACAACTTTCCAATTTTTATAATAATAAAAGATGATGTATATTTGGAAAAATGACATCAAATAATTTAGTTTTCCACATACAGAAAGTTATTTGCCTTCATATTTTTTTACAATTTAGAATGAAATTTATTTTCAGAAAACATGTATAAAATATTTTGTTTTTAGTGTTTCATTTTTGTTTATAACCTATTTAACATTGTATTCTATTGCATTTCAATTATTCATTCAATTATTTTTAGTTCATTCTAAAACTTAATGATGGTTATGTAATTAGCTGAAAATGCTAAATAATTAAAAAATTTAATCCATACTTTATTAAATCAATTTAATATTTATTGAAGAATTAATTGGAAATTTATGTAAATCATCTAATCAGTTTGTTTTGAGATATGTAATTTTGAAAATATTCACAAAAATTTGGAAATATCTTTACAAAAGTTTGGGTTTTAGAAGTAGTGCATTTGTAAAGGCCATGTTTTTCATTTACGAATGACTCAAATTGACATGCATTTCTGCAATTAAATCTGTATTTTAGAAAATACTTAATGTTGCCCAGTGATGATATTCGAAATATTTAACAAAGGGTTCGCTAACGGAAAATTTTTCCTTAACAATTATTTTCGCTCAAATGGTGCATTAGCAACATTAGCGCAAAAACTGACCTTGAGATACCCATATAAATAAAAAAAGATATATATTACTGATGATAAAACTGACATAACTACGCGGTAAGTCACGAATACCGACAAACAAAATGGAAGTTTTGGTTAGAAATAAATAAAATATTTTTTCCTGCGATATATCTAATAATAGACGGATGTCATCGTCTCTCGAAATACAATATCTTTTTTATTTCGCTGTCGATAGCCCGACATGTGTTCCACAGCAATCTTGTATTTTCTTGCGTGCGCAGGATTGTGGGATCTCTCTTATGACTGGATCTCGTTTCGAGAACTCTCGAGACGATCGCGATTGAACTTCGTTTAGTAGTATTACAGAGTATAATACGTATATATTTTTAGTATAATATTTAAATATTTAATATATTTTTTAAAAGAAACAAAACCACTGAGAAATGTTACATGTGTTTAAGAAGGTTCGGAAAACTTTGAAAATATTAACAACAGGTTCGGCCGAACCGGTGCGAACCCACAGAATATCACCACTGATGTTGCCTTATTTTCAGTATAAGAATTCCACTACTTTCCTCAATTATTTGAATACATATAAATAAGAAGAGTGTTAGTGAAGTCTCTTCTGTGTGGCTTATAGAATTTGAGTTCATTCTTAAAATTTGATGTGCTGATAACTTTGCCAGTTTCTATTAATTTTAATGAGCGATCCAAAAATGTAATAATAAAAAATGGGGTTCATGAATGTTTTCAACGTGCAATACTGTTTTTTAACCCCACCTGTGGGTACCTAAGAGAAAATGGGCACCAAAAACAAACAAATGCAAGAACAGAGCAATCAATACCAAGTGAATGTAAGGATTGCCTCTCCATGGCTGACAAGTTTAAGGGCTGCCTTCTTATGTGGCCCGTAACCATTTTCTTCTGATGATACACGCACAATGCTCTGCTTCAATTCTGTCATGATATGACAG